GCCGCCGAACTGAGGGATGCCTCCAGCGCCCGAGATCGCACCATGTCTGAGCTCTACCACATGAAGCTCGAGGCGGACGCCCTGCGCCAGGCCAAGGCCGAAGCTCAGGCCCAATGTGTCCACCTGGAACTCGTAGTCGAACAGATGAAGGCAGACGCCAAAAAGGAGGCGGTGAGGACGAGCGCAGGGCCTCATTTCAATTATTTTAGACGATGACTTTAGCCGATCAGGCTTTTCCTGACCAGTTTCGACTCCTACCCTGTTTTCATGCAGTCATTTTAATGGTGGTCTTCTTCTTCTTTTTCTTCTCCTGTCTTTGTAAAAAAAAAAAAAAAAAAAACAGGCCAAATCGGAGGAGGAAGCGAGCACAGACCCGGCTGTTGTAGCAGAGCTGCAGAGAGAGGTGGAGGACCTGAAGCTGCGGCTGCTCATGGCGGCAGAGCACTACAAGGAGAAGTACAAGGAATGCCAGCGACTGCAAAAACAAGTCCTCAAACTGTCTGAACAGCAGGGGGTAGGTTCCAGCAGACGCCAGCCGCCGAGCTTTATCCGTAAACCGAACTCACATTAGATGTTACGTTGCGCTCTGCCTTCTCTTTTAACATTCATTTGTGTTGTTGTTCATAGGAAGTGAAGAAAAGCACAGTACCAGAGGCCGCTGCTGCAATCCCTGCATCAGGGAGTCCAGACACATCGGTGCCGGGTATTTACGTCCAGCTCTGTCTGGTTGTATGGAAGAAGTAGATGGCTTTATCATAGAGACTCTGAATGTTTTAGAAAAGGCCACAGTAGTTTACTGTCTTGGTTTATGTCCTTTGATTTTTCTGCCCCCAGCGCCCTTTTCAGTCATAAAAGCAGTCATTTTATCTTAAACCATGACAAATGAGGTGATCTACATCTTTTGGTCGTGTTCTCGTCTCTACAGGCAGCCCAGGTTCTGCTGACCCCATGTTGGAGGCCATCATCCAAGAGAAGCTCAAAGGCATCAGCAGAGAAGCTTCAGACAGAAACGACAAATACAGGAAATGCAAGCAGATGCTGATGGTAAGCGACGCGTCGGCATTCTGCGCAAAACATGCGCGGGTCCTCTAATCCCGAGAGGACAAAGTGTGAGGAGAACAGGGTGATGAGTGTGTGTCGCCTTTCAGGAGGAAAAGGAGCGCAGCAGCTTGTTCGCAGATGAGCTGGCCAAGACGGAGCTGAAATTAAAGGAGCAGCTGAAGACCAACGAGAGTCTAAAGTTGCAGCTGGCTGCCGCCGAGGACCGCTATAAGGTCAGGCTCCGAGCGCGGCGCTGGTGCCTTCAAAGCAAGTCCGGTCTTCAGACTCGACTGTTTTTATCGGCGTCCGTGGCTGGTCTTGCTCAAGGATCGAGACTTTGATGCTTTCTTCTCCCACCCCCGTCTCCCCTGAACATAGTTGTTCTGACAGTGTTGTTTACGAGCCGGCCTATCTGTCAGACGGCATTTTACTGCTGTTTATGTCGGGCTCTGGAGACAAGCGAGGTTTGGCTCGGAGGAATCCTTTTTAGTCGCACTGCTAATGCTGCGCTTGGCTCGGGTCAGGCGGATATTTGCTTAGTGTCTCAGGAGAATCCAAGCAGGTTGTTTTGCTTTGAGGAGTATCGAACGTAAATCAGGCCGCGGCCAAAGGAAGCCGTTTATGCTTGTGATCAATTAATGTCACATGCCGAAGCCGGCCTGTATTTCAGCGAGACATTTTTCAGTCGGGAGCGCATTAAGTGTAAGAAAAGATGGCCTTTTCATTCCTTTTGGTTTTGTGTCCATTGTTTACCTCAGAGTCAAGTAGCCGAGAAGGGTCGGGAGCTGAAGGAGCTGAGGGACACGTTTGCACTCGTTGTGAGGGAGAAGGAAAAACTGGAGGGGGTTAGTAACAGCTTTCATTTTCTCTTTTATAGACTCCTGCCACTCCAAACATTCCCTAAAATATACAATTTTCTCTCTGCCATTTCGTCTGGGTTTAAAATACCACTAATTGTAGAAGCAAATTAAAAGTTGTCTGTTTCATTGCTTTGCTCCACGGCATTAGGCCTGCCAGGGCATTAGGCCCTGGCAGGCCTAATGCTGCTAATGCTGGTACAGTTCAAAGACTGTCAATTAGCTTGACCTCATTAATTACAAAATGGTTATAATCATAAAAATAAATAGATTTTCTTTTCTTTAACTAAGCTTTGCTTTGAAGAAGAAGAAGGGGAAAAAAAAGGTCCCTTGCACCATATTCCCAAAACAACTTGATGACTTCTGGGCAGAAAATAAAAATGACACATCACTATTGTTTTCCTGGTGCGACATAGTTTAAATTCTGCTTTTGTTTTTCTAGGAGCTCCAGAAGAGCAGCAGCAAGAAGGGCGATCAAGGGGCCAGTGAGAAAACCAGTTTGGAGAACCTCCAGACCAGTGTGCCTTTAATTCTGCAGTACCCCGTCCCTTACGCCCAGGACACCCCGACCCCACTGCTGGTCTCTCAGAGTCCAAGCAAGCTACACTTTGGGAACCCTTATTCCATCTCAAACTCAAAAGGTGAATTAAAAAAAAAAAAAGCATGTGGGATTCATTTTTTTTTTAAATGGTTGAATTTATTTACTTAAAGTGGTTGAATTATGTCTCTGCAGATGAGACAGAGGAGGAGTTCTCAGATGATCAGCCTCTGAAGCTGCCCCCCGTAGGCCCACCCTCCTGGGACAGCAACGTGGTCTGCATCCAGCCCTCCCGCAACCTCAGCCGGCCGGAAGGACACGAAGAGGCAGAGGAAAACAACAATGTGAGCGCCTCGCCTGTTTTAGCCACGCAATAACGCTTTGTCAGGATTTACATAAAAAGCAGAGGTCCAAGTCCTCTGCATGGCACTTTAGGTCAAAAACCTAATTCGTATTTCATCCCAGTAGTTGCCTACCATACATGCAAAAATGTATTTTGTGTCATTACAGCTACAAACATCAATATGTGTTGTAGGATTCTATGGATTAAACCGAGCCAAAAAATGACTGTGAGGAGGAAGGAAAGTGGCACAGTGTTGGTTTCTTTCCAGTTGAAAGAAATCTGTGAGAAGATGATGTCCCGGTTGTAGTTTGGCACAAGTTGTGGAAGAGTCTCCGCAAACTGATGGAGTTTAGTCAGATGAGACCAAAAGATAAAACATATTTGCCAGCATGCAAGGCAAGTTTAATTGTGTAGCATATGTTAGCAACAAGGCAACTCAAAGAGCTTTAGATGATGAAAACATAGCATTATAGAAGCAGAATAAAGGAAATTAACGAAAAGTTGGAATATGGACTACAGTTAGCGATGTCCCGGTTATTATTGAGTTGAGGGATCTTAATTTGTCTGAGAATGTTTGGCAAAAGTTGAAAAACAACGTTCACAGCTGGTCTCTTGGCAGAACTCGGGCTCTAAGTTTGAACCATTTTGCAAAGAGGAATTCATAAAAACTTGAGACATTCCTTAAGAAACTTGAAACGGCGATTTCAGGGAAAATTGATTCTACTGGCTAGACTGGACTGACTGAAAAGCATGGATTTTTTTTTTTTTTTTTTTTTTTTACTTCAGAAATGTGAACTGCTCGTAAAACCAGCATCCTAACAAAACGCAGTAGTTTGTGGCTGCAACATGACGCAAAGTTAACAAGTTGGCAACGTTGGAAGCGACTCTAGTGTCCAGCAGTTATTTTGTAGGCATTTTATTTATTGTTGTTGATCGTCTCTTTTCATATTTATGTTGGTTTTTTCCCCCCTCCCTCCAAGGTTAACACCAACGAACAGCCGCTAGGAACAGAAACACGCAGCTCATTTGTGAATGACGGACAAACCCCCTTCTGCTTTGACTCCAGGTAACAAAAACCTTCTCCCGCTTAGCTTTAGTGTTAGCCATGCCCTAGCCTCACTCGGCTTCTGTAACATAGCCGCCCTTTGTGTTACCGTTGTCGACGAGCGGGCCACCCACACTGCATCAAACACACGTTCCTCATTAGCCGGCGCTCCTGTTTGTTGCTCGACTTCCATTAACACGAGCGCTCCTCTTCCTCTGCTTTTTCCGCTGTCTTTTTATTCCCTTCCCCCTTCCACTCGCTTTCTCTCTCCCCCGCCGCGCACAGCATGGACATGAAACGCTGTCCGCTCTGCGAGGTCATCTTCCCGCCCAACTACGACCAGAGCAAGTTCGAGGAACACGTGGAGAGCCACTGGAAGATCTGCCCCATGTGCAGCGAGCAGTTCCCCCTGGACTGCGACCAGAAGGTGTTCGAGAACCACGTGCTCACCCACTTCGACGGGCACCCGCTCAACTTCGACTGAAGGAAACCGAAAACCAACGGAGTCTGCAGACCTTCTGCCATCCACTGAAAAAGAATCACTTTAAGCTCTCTTCTGCATGTAGTGGTGTTCGGCTCCTCTCTGTAGAGCTGTCCTAACTTTTGCTTTCGTTTAACTTGGAGATCCACTCGGAGGTGACGTTTGGAGAAAAAAAAAAAAAAAACAACAAAAAAAACGACAGTGTTATTATTTAGCGTGTGTCACAGGGCTTTTAAATCAGTTGCGAATTATTTTATTTTTTATTTTTATTTTTTTTTTTGGATTACAGTTTTAAATGTTTCCCTTCTTTTTGGATTTGGAAAGAGAAGATTGTTTTACCCTATAATTCTTCTTACTGACTTCGAACAGACATGGGTTTTCTCAGATCTGTAACGCTGCGGGATGTAACGAGTCAGGGAAAAAGAGACGTGTTTACCAAACTTACATTTAACACATGCGAACATATGCTTCCTCCCCCCCCTTCATCATCGCTGTACAGGTCATCGGTCAGCCATCATAGAAAGCAGCCTCGGTGCACTATATTCAGTCAGGGAGAAATCTTAAGTAACTATACCCACACAAGAATATACAGTATATCTTCAGATCATCTATTTTAGAAAAATTTAAGGCAATATTGTGACCGTCTTAATACTTTGTGTGATATGTAGATTTTATTTAGCTAGGGCTAGGTTTCCTTTTTTTTTTTTTTTTTTTTTTTTGTTATTCTGATTGTCTCATATATTCATATCAACAGCTAATCAGTGCATGCTCAGCTTTTGTTCATTTTCCTTCTTTCTCTTTTAAGCTATTAAGTTATTTCATTCATTAAGATGTTTCATCAGTTTAGTGAGTTTCATGTATCTAAATAAACTAATAAAATTACTTTGAAATTGCACCGTCTGATAAATGAATGAATGAGCAGGAGTCGGAGGAACGGGTGAACTCTTTTATTGTAAAATTTACCAAGTTTTCATGAAGCAGCAGAAATACAGTACATTTGCTTTTTCTTGTTTGTTTGCTTTACAAAAACACAAAAATAAATGTAACACTTTAAAGGGTGATGACATTCACTGTATACCATTTATATACTGACGGTACAGCACAGCCGCAGTTCTTTCATATCTTACAGATCTGTCTCGCTCTTATTCAGGATGTGCAGATTTGAATCCAGTGGCACCAAGAAGGCTCGGATGCGCAGCACAAACCGAATGGCGACGCATTCACACTCTGTCCCGTACGAAAATAGAAATGTTTAGAAATGACAGCATGGTTGGACGAACACGTAGGATGACTGTCGGCGGACAGTTCAGCAGCACAAATACTTTCACCTAAAAAAACCCCCGAGGAAAACACAAAACACTTTACAGAAACGGCAGCTCCTTTGAGCCCGAGCTCATTTAGGAAGGAGAGCGCTGCAGTGATAAACTGTCCTGGAAATGAAAGACGTAAAGGAAGGAGACCTTCTGAGCTTTGTTAGAAGAGCGCAGCTCAAAAGCCAGTGTCGGAGGGTTCGTAGGTTCACTCAGAAGGCAAAGTTATGCTACACTAAACGAACGTCGACCCCTCATTTACTTATAATTTTCTTCTAATGAGATTCATTTTTCTTTTACTCTTTCTAAACGGCTCAAAGCAACTGCTTCGGTTATTCTTGTCTTTCAGACCTTGTGTCTGGTTATTTGTAGAGATTTGTTTTCCTTTTTAAAAACCATATAATTTCAAAGGAGCATTTAGCGCAAGAAATTACACAATGTTCTTCACACAACATTTGACGCTAATCTTTAGGGATTTTCTTGCAGCTAATCAATAAAACAGTAATGCTCCAGTTTATCTAGTTGCGTACCAACGAAAATGTTAAAGAGAAGCAAATTCTTCAGGCATTTAATAGGCGAATACCCAAGAACTGTCGGTGGGGAAAAAAATGTAACGGAGAAGTAAGCTAACGTTAAGCTTCTTGGCCTTCGACCTCGACTCGACTGTAGCTTCGACTTCATGCCTGGAAACCGACAAAGTTAAATGAACTCAACAAAACCTGCAAGAACGGCGATCAAATACCCGGCCAGATTTATGCGGTTGAGTTGCAACTTGCTGAGAGACATGGACTCGACCTGCGTGTTTGAGAAAATAATTTTGCAGGCCCAGGTTTTTAATAGTCACAGAATGATGTCAGTTTTTGCGTCATTGTGCTCTCACAAAAAAAGAAACATTAAAAAAGAAGAGATCTGGTAAAATAAACCATTACAATCCTAAAGGTATACAACATTATTGTCTATTTAATTCCTTTTCCTTCTGCAGCCGATTGCGATTGTTGGTACTTTGGCAGATTTTTCTCAATACTTCATTCTTATTATGGCACAAAATAGGAGCTGAATGCACAGCCATGGAGCCATTTCATTGTTTCTTCCTATTACTTGTAACTCAGGCAGTGAAAACTAAACAGAAATGGTTGGGGAATGAAGCTAAACTGCTCGGTGACTCTCAAACTAAAGACATTCATAGACGTACTGTTGGGGTGTTTTTTGGAATGGGATACGATTCAAGGCAACTGCTACACATTCAGAAATGTCACAATACTGAGGCCTGAAGAATTGGATTGTTTACTATTTTTTTTGTTGTCTTTTTAAAGTGCTTCAATACCTTACTGTGGAATTAGGAAGGTCAGCTGCTTAGTCTTAAAGAAAGTTATCCAAGACACAAAGAACTGCTACTGAAAATGTTCTCGTGATCCCACCGAGCAGCATGGACTCATTTGAAACGATCAGGCAAAGGTGGAGCTGAAATGCTTGCAGAAAAATCACCTGAGATTATCCTTTGGTGTTCCCACAAAAGAGATGTTATGCACGTCCTACGAATGGGAAAAGTAACTGTGTTTAAGACAAAGCGACTCGTTATTCCCAGTCAGGCTACATTCAGTTTCTTAATTTGCATCGTTCCCATTTCAAGCTCAAAGGCTACGACAGAGCGTTTCCTTTCAACAGAAAACACATTAACCTGTCCACGTATTCGGTATGTAAAGGACAGATGCATTTGTAAAACTAATCATCTCCTGGCTGCTTCTCAAGTCTACATTATCAACAATAAGCACCATAAGTCAAGGGAACAAAAGTGGAATAAAAAAACAAAACAAATATCTGAAATGTGCAAAAATACAAAATGTGAACGACATAAATAAGACAATTTGCATGGGGATTAAGGTTGAATTATACATATATGACTGTGCAAATAAAACATAGTCTAGTGTTCTAGCAAAGTGAAATGAAACTGGAGGCAGCGAGCGGTGCTGCTGGTGATGGATGTTTATATGGCCTGAGGGAAAGTGCTGGTCATTGACTCCACCTCTACTGCTGCTTCTTGCGGAAGCTGTCGGTGGAGATGGGTGGATGAAAGTTGATGGTGTGGTGCCGGAGACCCTGAGACGTCTTGTAGCTCTTCCCACAGCGGCACTTAAAAGGTTTGCGCACCCTGATCTGGGTCCGGTGTCCGTTCTTGGCATGATACTTGATGCCGTTCACATTCTGTTGCGAGGCAAGAAATTTGAAAACATTAAACAATATGCATGACAGACTGCATTCTGGAACTAAATGCTTGCTGACTTTATTTCAAAGTTTTAATTGCAGATAAAAGTACGAAAAACACATATTATTTTCCTTCCACTTCACAAAGATGCACGATTTTGTGTCAAGTTTCAAACTTGTGGCTGTTGCGGCACAAAATATGAACAACTTTTAGAGGTTTGAATACTTTTGGCATTGTAGTATGTTGGGACCAGAGATCTGCCTCCAGAGCTTCGTACCGATTTTATTTGACCGGAGATAGAAAATATCTTAACTAAAAATAACAATTAAGCTAAACTGTCTAAAATAGACATAGTTAACCCAGACATCTAATTATAGGCCTAATGTGGGCAAAAACAGATATTACCCACAAATATTTAACATGTGAGGTATTGTGTATTATGTTGCATAATTTCGAGACACACACACACACAAAGTTTGCAGTCAACAGAAGGCTTGTTCTGCTCCTAAACAGATCCCTGCTGCTGCCTTAAGCCTTAGTCATTGCCTATAACTCTGTCATTCACGTCAGCAAAGCAATTTTCTCAGGCTGTGCAGAATTTATCCCAACCACACACACCAGATGTGGGCGGAAAATCCTATAAAACTCCATATCACTGAGGTGGACTGGATGTATGCCTTTAAGTTGTTGTACTGCCCAACAAAGAACCCATTTTCCACTCTCCACTTCTCTCTTTCTCATACACACACACACACACACACACACACACACACACACTCACACATATATTTATATACATTTAGACATAAAACATATATATTTATAGGATATAGGATGAAACGTGCAAGCCTGAAATCCCATCTATCCCTGCTGTGAAGTATGGGATAGGCACCGTCATGCTGTGGGAGTGTTTTGCTTCAGGAGGGACTGTTGTACTTCACATGAGGAAGAAACGTTCTCAAAACATTAAAGCAACAACTCAAGACATCCGCCAAGAAGACAAAACTTGGACTAGAGTGGCAATTGCCTCCCTACCCAATTTTACTCGATTCTCATCTCCCTTCAGCGTTCCATTTGGAATTTCTCCCATTGAGCTTGATTTCTCTGGTTGAATTTCGACTGGGCCAATCGCTGAAGAGATGGAGGTGTAAACGATGACGTCTAGTTTCTGTTCTGTCTTAGAATTGTAATCCGCTCATGTAGGGTTGTAGTTTAGCAAAGGCAATGGAGGATGTGAACAGAGCCATGCAGTTCGTGTTGGATACACTTCTAAGTATTGAGCAATTAAAGTCAGAGCAAGAGGAATGTTTAAGACATTTTATTGCTGGCCAAAGATGTTGTGGCCTGACTCTCCATGGTGTTGTTTACAGCACATGCAATTTCCAGTAATCTTCAACGAGCTGGCGCACTGCATGTCACGGCCAGCGTCAGCGACTGGGTAAAACTTAAAACTTCAACAGAGTCCACGCCCCCAGCAAGCAATTGTTTCTCAATAGCTGAGGGTAAAGATTCTCTGTACGAAGTCAAAGCGTAGAACAAAGGGCTGGTTTTTACCAGGGTAAGCTTGGGCACAATTGTGTTTTCCACTAAGAGAACGATCCCAATCACGCAGTAAAATTAGTTACAAAGCAGCATTCCTGAAACTATGATGAAAATATTTACTCAAAATCTTTTATTTACAACAAAGTCAGCTGGATGATACTACCAGTGACAAAAATAACTGACATGCCAATATAAAGAAATGTGTATAATGTTATAGGGAGATGAAATCCAGTCAGATCTCAATTTAGCCATGTGAGAAAACAGGAAAGGGCTTTTTTGCTCAATAGGATAAATAATTCCTTTGCATGTAACAACATAATTATTATTATTTTTTGTCTAAAAGGACATAGGCAGAATGTTATAAGATTTAGTAGACAAAACTAAAACGACGACAGATGACTAAAAATGCAATTTTAAGATCTGATAAGTCACGGATGAAACACACCTTGTATCTTTTCTTACAGCCGGGAACAGGGCAGGCGAAAGGCTTCTCATCTCCTCCGTTCATGCACATAGAGCTCAGGATAGACTCGGAGCTGATGGCGCTCTCCGTGGTCCACGACTCGTCACTGTCAGACGCCTCAAACTCTACATCCTCGTCGTCACACTCGCTACCTGCGGGAAGAAAAACAACAGGAAGCACAAACATTTAACTCAGATTCACAGCATCCAAAACGAAGATGCTCTGATTCATGCCTTTTGACTTCCTTGTGGCAATTAGATCTCAGCCCTTGGGCTTTCCGTCTGACAAACGCAGACCTTTCTCAGCAGCAGTTCCCATACTCGCCTCTTCCTGAATGCTCAATAGGATAATACCCAGATTTTAAGAAGCACTGCAATCAGCCAATTATGGGAAAGAATCGTGGGTTGAGAAACTTCTTTTTGTTTTACATTAATTTTGTTGTTCTCTTTGAGTATGTGGGAAAAATGCTGCAAAGCTGTATGAAAAAAAACAAAAACAAAAAAATAAAAAAACGTTTCCGGTAGAAGTTAAAGGAAAAAAAAAACGGTTTTCAATTTTTCTTTGACAAAAATAACTCTGAGAAGTGTGACTCACATATGTATTCAGCTCCTCTGTCTTAAAATGTTTGTAGCGACAGGTTTTTTTTTTGTTTTTTTTAAGTCCGCCAATAATACCTGCTGAGTGAGATTGACCAGAGGGCGCATGTGAACAACATGTCAAAGCTTCTCAGTTAGATTCAAATCGTGGCCATTCAAATACAAAACCATGCAAAAATTCAACCCATTTCTTTGCAGCTCTGGATCTTTGTTTTGTCGTTGTGCTGCATTAGAACAAAAACCTCCCACTCAGTCTCAAGTCTTTTACAACCTGCAAAAACTTAATGTCTCGCATTCAGTAGGTAGACCGAAAAAGTTCTGTTTTAGTCCCATCTGAGCAGATCACCTTCTTTCCCACCTCCTCCAGAGTACCCTGATGGGTACTGCTCTGCTTAACGCTCTCGTTGCTAAGCCTGCCACTAAAAAAAGAGTCCATATTAGAACATCCCTAATAAAATCATTCTACATTACACTATAAAACTCACAATGGGTAGGATGTCATCATTTTTCAATAGAAAGTGGTCTGCATAGGAACTGTTAAGAGTTCAATTTGATTCAGTCCTCTGTCAGGTGAGGCGGTAGAGGAAACGCAGTGTAAAAAGCTTAATTAAAGGAAGCCGTTATTTCTGCAGCTCCGTCAGACTCAATGTGAGACACAGAGCAAGACCATTTTAGCAGGTAACAGGAAGTTGCACTGTTTTATCCTGTTGAGCTTTCAGCCGTTGTCTAGCATGTTCAACGGTACATGCTAGAAACATCGGAGCTAAGGATAGGATCTAGATTATGGTAAGAACACACAGAGACCGAGGTTGTATTTATGCTAGCCCCCACGAACTGAGCTAACAGCTATGGGAAAATGCTAAACAAAGTCTTAAATGTGAATTCTAACATTATTTTCTCACATTTAAAATGGTGCATTTTTGGTTTATAGCAAATGCTTTCACGCACCATTGCCTCTGTTTCTAACATAGATAATGAATGTGCACTCAATAATGTGTGAAAGCTAGAAAAAAAAAAGATGAATTCCGTTCTCATACTGTATATTCTTGTGTAATAATTCCCAAAGGCAGAAAACAAACAAAAAAGGCATCTTGAAAATCCAAACCAGGAAATTCTGATCAGTGCACTTCTACTTTGTATGATATTTATGATATTTATTTGCTGCTATGAGGCGAAACTGCTCATCTCACTGGGAACGAGAACGACGGGTACCTGTCGGTGTACTGCTGCGGAAGGAAGAGGAAGGGGTGATCGGGGGGGTGACCGGAGGGGTGAGGTTTCCACTGGTGTGACGGGGTGGCGTGGAGACGTTGGTGCGTGACAACGCGGCCGTCAGAGAGAGCTTAGGCTGCACCTTTTTCTTCAAGGCCTCGTGTTCTCGCCTCGCAGCGTCTGTCATGAACCTGGCATTGTGAATCACAAAGCTGCTTAGTGTTTGTTAAAAAGAAAGAGGAAGAAAAAAAAATCATGAAAAGAAAGTAATTTCACACTTTCTTCACTAATTAACTTGGAGCCCTTCAGTTGTAGAACGCATGGTTGGAAAAAACACCACTGGCCACATTTCCATGAAAAAAAAACCTTTTATTGGAGTAGTAAAGTCTTTGGTAAATTGGTATAATAAGATAGAAGCATTAACACAGACACTGGTGAAGGAAAAGTGGAATTAGCAAATTAAGTAACAGCCACATGAAGATGCGTTCGTAAAAGCAGGGAGACAGTGGGACACTCAGTCGTACTCTGGCATACTGTGGAAGGCCAATAAAAGCTCTGTTTGAGCCCCATATCAAAGGCAGCTGGGATGATCTCAGAGCAGTAAAAAAAACACAACGCCACAGAAATTAATCTAAGCAGTCCTCCAGATGACAAATGAATCTGTCAGCAACACTTAATGAGTCTCCCACATAATATAAAACAGAAGCAGCTGATTCAGAAGAAGTCTCGTAATAAAATTAATCTGAGGTGAAATCAGATCAATTCGTGAATTTTTAGAAGCAGGTTTTGAAAATAATAATAATAATTGAAAAAAAGAAAAAAATCGCCCTTACCTATTGATGTAGCTGAGAGCAATATATGTCGGCTGCTGCTGTTCCTGCTTCTCCAAAAAACAGGGGTCTGTTTCTAGGCAGATAGAGAAACAGAAATATTGGAAGGAGTTGAAAAAAATGAACTAAATATTCACCAAATCCTGAAGGCCTTTAATTTAAGCTAACATACATATTTGAAATCTAATATATATATATATATATATATATATATATATATATATATATATATATATATATATATATATATATTTTTTTTTGTCTTTTTCTTTTTATTAGCTTTTAACACTTCAACAGCAACAGCTTCTCCTTTTAAGGTTGATGTAAAACCAATAAAATAATCTAATAAAATATCATCTAATCATATAAAAAAGTACATTCACAAATGAAGCGTTCCATACACCTGAGCAAGGTGGTCCTGTGGTAAAAGTAATTGATCTTGTTGAGCTCGTAGATTGTTAAAGCATTTTTATCTAGAGGAACAATCTTTATTCTTTATTTCCTAGTCCACATAAATTCAATCCATGAATGATTAAGGCATACATAAGGTTTCACACTACAGCATTTAACAAATTTTAAACGGAAGACATTCTGTAATGGCGTAGTAGTAGACAGTCTTTCCTATACAGCCTTGTTCACCGCAAAAGATAATTGCTAAAGAAGCTGATTAGTTGATCTGGGATCTTTGAACAATCATTGGAAAGTTGCATGGAACTGTGAAGAAATATGTGCACAGGCAACAGTTAAAACTGCACCCTTTACAGGAATGAACTAGCTGGACTTTGAACCTTCTCCCACTGTCAAAGGCAGGCTGGTTTAATGACCATGTGATTGTGTGGACAGCAACCTGGCCTGGCATAAACTCCACATGAAAATGAGAGACATCAGACAGTCCAAAAAAACTGCAAACAAGCTGAAGGATCCTATTAAAGTAACCGAGCCTCTGATTAATTTCATGCCACACCACTCAGATGTCGTAATTCATGTAAAAGGAGCCCCAACCAAGTACTCTCCACACTATGTACGTAAATACTACATGAGACTCTATTGGTCTCTATTGGCCCTACATTTTATTTTCATCTTCTGAAAAACGTCTTTTTTTTATCCATAAACCATGATCATAAAAAGAGACAGAAATAAATGTTTAACCTTTATCTCAATCAGTTTCACTTTCTGAATTGAAAACACTGTGTTCTCTTTGTACTTGGATGTCAGATTTTATGAGTTCCCAACTGGGACACCAACAAAAAGAATATCCTTGAAGTCCATATTCTGAGGAGAAAAATCTGAGATTGCTGAGCAACCCTGACTTCACTATCTAATATGGCTGCAAGCATATAGAAAGTAGTATATACTCTAAACTAAGATCTTTGTTGAACTAGTCTGTGTAATCATGTCCTGTTTTGTGTATGAAAGCATAGAACAGAAAGAAACATAGCAGTGGTTTGTATTGGGAATAGCATTTAGAATTAAAACTATTCTGATCCCAAGTCCGCTTTCTGACCTTCGATCAAAATGCTCCTAACTGATGTGATGGCATTCCCAGCTCAAATCTCCAAGTTACAAAACAGATGGATTGCTATAATCATTTTGGTATTGACTACAATTATCAACGCCAGGTGATAAAAGTGAATTTCTCTCGATTTTCTGTGTTCAAATACACACAAAAAACACATAAATAACCAGGTAAAATGTACAGCTCTATGTGGGTAATCACTTCAGTACATTCCCTACAATCTATATGCAATCCATTTTTGAGATACAAAGACAAAACACCACGCTAACATGTCTGAAATCAATGTGAGGGACGATTTGCTTTGGTATAAACTACTATAACCAATGCAAGATAATGACAGTATGTCTCTCCATTTTAAGATATTTCACATTGTCATTTGTTTAATGAGATGCAATTAGTCAGAAGTGCTTTGTTTATAGTTTGTTTTGCCAGCAGTTTTCACTTAGTTCTATATGTGTGCAGCCATATGTGTGACACTGGAGTAATATATAAACCATCAGAAGCGCTAACAAATAGTTTAAACAGAAAGCCAGAGTGAATACTCAACCCAGGACTAATAGGTAAACTCCCACCTTCCCAGTCAAGACCATGACCATAATGAACATTTATTTTATTTTATTTTTTTCTGACTTCTACCTTGTAAACGTTGATTTCCAAGCATAAAGCAAACTCACTATATTTCCTCTGTTATGGGTATTTAAAGTAGTAGTGAGAGAATCCAGCCTCTTTGGATTGACAGACTGTTGCGCATATAAATATAATGCATATTGAGGTGTTTTCAGAACATTTAGAAACACAACTCACCAATTTTTTAAAGCGACAGACTTCGTGGCCTAACTATAAAGTCTTCTCCGTTCCCCTTGTAGCAACACAGTTTTATTACAGAACTTCAAGTAAATGACATCTCACTATTTCTAGGTTCTTAAAATGCTGCCCTGCAGAAACCAAATTGCACACATATGACCACACTCCGCACATTGTATGTTTTTTGCTTTCTCAGCTCCACACATCCATCCTGTTCAGTGGTGCTAAATGTACAACAATAGCCAATCTAAACACCCTGAGGTGAAAGCGTGACTGACTTCAATCACTCTTCCCTCTGTTATGGGAGAAGAAAGACAGCCCATAAAACAACACTTTGTACCACTTCCCAGCTGAGCCTCCCTGCTTGCATCTCTGACAGTGTTGCTGTGAAAGACTGCTCGGCCCCATGGGGCTCAGTCCATTGCTTGGTTTTATCCAGCTCATTTACCAGCGAGCCATTTATTAGGCCATTGATTTTTAAACTATTATCATTGAAGAAGAAATTATAACATTAATAATACTGCAAGTTTTGTTTACTGTTAGCATCATTTTTCTCTCACTGTAATGACAGTTGCAATGAGAGAAAAAAAACAAACAACTAATTAATTAAAGGTTTTGTGTGAAGAGGTTGTAATTAAATCACTCCTTTTGCCAGAATTGCCTTACTATGCCAAATTGTATAGTAATATATTTAATTTTTTTTCAAATCCTCAACTAGCCTGCTGAGGATCATATTACATAATATCAATTGAATTGAAATGTGGACATTGACTAGGACACTCAAACCTTCATTTAGTTTTATTTTTTTATTTTTTATGAGGCATTTAGTTTTGGTATTGTTTCAGACCTTTATCAATGCTTTAGCTTAATGTCATGATCCGATTGATGAACGCTCTTCTTCGGGATGTTCTGGCCGCAAATGTAATCATGCTCTGATCAATTATAGCAAGTCACTGAGAAGCTGGAGCAGCAAAGCAGTCCCAGACCATCAAATTACCACAACCACGTGTCAAGTCATCAGTAAACTGCCTTTTTGTTATCTGAAATTTTATTAGTTTTTCACCAGATTTAATGGAATTCATACATTTCAAAAGTTCCACAGAATCCACAGAATATTAGGCCTCATTAGACCAACGGTCGTAGGCATTATTAAGATTCTTTTCAGAGGAAGTGTGAGAAGTGCCTTTGCATTATTTTTGGTTAGCAGTAGTTTTTTTGCCTTTGGGCTCTTCAATGGAAATCCTTTTTTGCCCTGTATTGTGATTTTTTTGTGACCTGCTGGATGTGTGTCCTTGGGATGATCCACCATTGTTGCATTTGTGGATAATGGCTCTCACTGTGGGTTTGAGTCCCAAAGACTTAGAAATGGTTTTGTAACTCTTTCCACACTTTGCTTCCCATCTGTTCCTGCATTTTTGTTTTCAAATTGGGACATGTGGTGTTGCTTTTTTTTTTAATTTTTTTTTTTTTTTTTTAGATCTTTTAGCATACGCTATTTAAGTGATTTCTTGATAATACCAGTTAAAATAGTAATCCTGCAGGGTTTAGTGACTGGGATTGAACCCAGCTTTTGAGAAAAACAAAACAAAAAAAAAACTAATCTGTCTATTAGCTTGGTACAAGTTTTTTGAGGCCATTATTAAAGCAATGTTAGTGCTGGCGTTGAAGATCTTTCAAATTTCTAATTGCAGTTTCTTGAAACTATACAGGTCTTAACCTGAGACTACAGATGGTTCTCTGAAGGCCATGTGCAAGCGTTTCATTAATCGTAGATTTATCCCTGGTGTGAAGGACAGCACATTTTACTCTACTTTCCAACGATGTCATGAAAACAAAGAGTTGGAGGCACGCATTCATTATGACACTAGTCCCATGCCAAAAGCCAGAGGCAACCCTGAGACTGCTCAGAGCTTTGCAGTAATGGCATGCGTGTGTGCAAGAGTGCACAAGAAATCCCTCCAAAAATCCCTAATGAGTCTCAAGCTGTGGATTGGCGGCCAGCTCAAACAGCAGTGGATCGGTCCGTTCCCACACACTGTAAATCACAAAAGCCTCAGGTGGGGACTGCAAAAGAAGGCCTGCAGGGACCACATCCCCCTCCCCCACAGCCTCTAGTGTTCTTTTAGGGCCACCATGAGTCAAGGATCAGGAGGAAGGTGCCTCAATTGGAGATGGGAACCCCTCTAATCAAACTACACAGGTGGTCCACCATGGTGGGCAACGATTAGAAGGCTTCTAGGAAACAAAGAGTTAGTGTAAGTCAGTGTAATCTGTACTTATGTCTACACATATGTGCCGATGTTGTAGGGCTTACAACATCGGCATAAAGAAAAAATATATAATGACACCCAACAGAGCAGCTATTTTAATCTAAAGCAGATTTTTATTATTTATCACAAACATTTACAGGCCATTCGCACTTGACAATCAATTCGTGCACGAGGGCTTAACGAAGCGATATTAATGATTGTTCCTATCTGGCCTCAACCATAATTGTCCCAGTTTGATCTAAATTTTGACTGGACCTTTTTGCACCACTTCAGTGAGTTTCTGTTTGTGCTTTCTGTTCTGTCTGACGGCATCCCGTCCCCTTAACAATTATCGTCACCCTTTGCAAACACGCGTGCAAAAGCCTTGAAACAAATCGCTCACAGTGAGCTGAGGTGTAGATTCGTTTTCCTTTTTGCCTTTTAATAATAAATGTAGTATTTGAATGGAAGGTTCTCATGTCTTTCCCATTTTGAGAAGAGGTTAAAGGAAATAATCCTCCTTTTCAAGTCATATGTACTCCACACCAGACAAACAGGAGGTCACAGGTCACTTACAAAAAGTTACTGAATGCTTAAAAAAAACGGCAAGCATAAGTCAAGCGCATTTTTGGATGTTGAAGGTAGGACTTTTCAATTTTTTTTCACTGTGTGTGTGTGTGTATGTTGTGTGATTTTTTTCAGTGAAATTTAAATTACTACATGCTAATTGTGATTGGATTCGTGGCTGTAGGGAATAAGCGCAGGCCAAATGACCCAGTAACACTTAACAAAAAGGGTCTCTGTGGTGGTCCGCATCAGAACGATCGCGCGGCACACCTTCCTCAGGCAGCGGCGGAAGTGACGCCTGCGAGCCTCTCATTAGAAACATCCTCCACCGGACGAGCGTCCTCACTCTTGTGTGCACACCAGACGCACAGTCCCCTCTCTCATTTCCACCAGCATCTGGCTGCTCCACCCCTGACAGTCAAATGCACCGTGGGGCAGAGGTGAGTGGTGAGCATTATGGTGACATGTTTATGGCGACTGTGAGCTGCAGGGAACATTACCAGGAGTGGTGGCACAGGTAATTCATTACAATGTGACCTCTGAGAAGGAAATGAAACGGAGACAAGCTCCATGTGAAAGCCGCTCTTTGGTGGTTTCTGGGGAGACACCGAGGGAATAAAATGATTCATTGTAAGTTTGACACACACACAGCAACCTATACAGCCCATGCGTAAACGCAGAATCCCTCAACGTTGGATCTTTCTAAGTGTTTTATCAACCATGTAAAAAAAAAAAAAAAAAAGTACCATTTTTAAACTTCATATTATGAACATTAGAAAAGTCTCATGAGCCTGACATTAACGTTGACAGGTATAAAAAGAAAATATTAAAGGAGATGATAATTAAAAATTCCATTCAAACTTTTTGAAATTGAATATCACTGCAGATCTATCACAATAGTCCAAAAAAATAAATAAATAATTCTAGTGTTGCAAAGCTCTAAAAGCTTATGCAGTTTCTGCAACAAAAGCGTATTCTCTATAAAAGCAAATTAGCTTGGTTTTATGGAAACCAAAGCATTGTTTGGCTTTGTAAGCAAAAACAATATGCGAAAACATGTAGATTAGGAAACAGGTGTTTACTGTTGCAATGAATCTATGCAACTGCGGTGATCAACACCAGCAAAGATTCTGCAGTAAAACCGGGAGGCAACAAAAGAAACGCTTATCGCAACAAAACCGATGGCAGAAATATAATCACACTGAATTTCTAAGCTGCACAATGTTTTTTTTTGTTTTTTTTCAGGTAATGGATTCCCCCCCACAGAGAGGCAACAGTGGGGGATTGGGGAAATGTAATTAGCCCCACCAGGTGCACAGATCAGGGAACTAGTTACTGTTTAACAAATTTATTACTTCCGCACTTTTTTTTTTTTTGTTTTTTTTTTTTGAATGACTGCAAGTTGTTGGGGAAATAAAAACAAAGCTCAATAAGCGTCCAACAGGACTGGCAACAAACAGACTTTGTTGTGTTCCTGAGCTTACTGCCCATTTCAAGCTTCTACTATTACTGACCCTGCTGGCTACCTGCTCACAGGTCAAACAACACATCCGCAGCATCCTTCTGGTCTAAAGCTGACTGAGCACACGGGGACATAGGCATAGTTTAAATTCTACTATATTCAAATATAAGGCTAGTTTGTCAGATTAAAAGCACCTTTAAAAATACCAACTTTTAAGCAAGTATTAAACTTTTTTTTTTTTATCCTGTGAGCAGAAAATCATCATAAATAAAGGCGTCAATCTATCTACCTGTCCGTCTATCACAATTATTATAAAGGGGGTTTGACAAAATAGTGCATTCAGAGGGATATCTCCCAATCAACAGACTAGCAGCGCCCTCTCTTGTTCACAGGCCCATTCAGCAGTCTGCCCACAAAGCTCATGTACAAGAATGTATGCTTATTATCAGGCGCCTAATTACAATGGGGGAATGTGCCTTAAGCAGCAGGCCACCAGATGAGGAGGAAGACATGCCAAATCAAGCGCCCCCTCTGTAATTATGCATCACAGGCACTTGGCACAACGCGCAAGATTTCGCACTTCTCTGAGTGTGTGCAGGCCGGCAGAGAGGGGAGAGGATAGAGGTGGGTGGGGGGCAGAGGGGCGGGGGGAGAGTTTTTCCCCTTTGAGCCAACTAATTGCTTCATTATTCCCTAACAAGTTATTTGAAAGCCTTGCTGTTTTTTTTGTTTGTTTTTTTTTGTTTTTTTTAAAACTAAAGCTAACACCTCTGACACATGCACATGCAGCACCAGTCTGAAAGCCGACGATATTAAAGCCAGTCAAGCAACAAACAAGAACAACAGAGGTACCTGAGCCCTGTCACCTTCAATAATAAGGGCCTGAAATATCGGATCAGGGGAGCAGATGTTCGAGCGAAGGGTCACGCTGTGAGGAAGGGAAGTTGCATTTTTGCCACACCAACAAAAAGTATGTGAAAGCTAAAAACATGTAATGGCACCGTCTGATGCGGCTTAACCTAAAAAAAAATGGCATGTCTTTTGGTTCTCAAATGCTGTAATTTTTTTAAAAAAGTACAAAATCTTTAAAAGAATAAAAATAGTTGACACGTTCTATTCATTTCAAAAATATTGACTCCCAATTCCAGATTCATCAGTGATTCTGGGACTTATTTTGCCACCCTGGAACTAGAGACGCATCAATCAGGCAATTTCTTGACTGGTTCCAATTTCCGTCTTTCTTCGAGGTCTGACTTGCTGATTCAGACAAAGATTGATTCCATTTTTTTTCTTTGTTTTTTTTTCAGTTTTATTTTTCTAAAGGGTACAACAGACAACAAATAAAATGTTGTCCTTGACTGACCAAGCAGTTTGAAATATATCAGAAAGAAAGTACTGGCGATTTTAACAGTTTGCTTTTACAAATGTGAAATGGTGGGAGATGTTGACCTGCCAATCACCAATCCGAGTCATGCAATTTAAGAATATTTATGAAAATGGAGAACCTTAGCAATAAAAGGTAGAAAAACAAAGATTGACATAATGTGGAGGAGTCAACGGGGAAAATCCTCCACAAATATTGCCTTTAAAAACCTGATCTTTTATTTCAAAGACATAATCTCACACTTAAAAATGTGCTACGGCTCCCTAATTGTTAGATCTGGAGATTTATCCTTATTGTCATCATCATCTACCCCCGTTTGCCACAGCTCGAGTTAACTGAAACTTAATTAGAATATGACTGTAAATATGGACATATTTTCTGACAATTCCTTCCTATTTTTCTTTTACGCTTTTTTTTTAAGATCAACACACATTTGCTTTCTGTAAATTACCTGTTCTCTTATCTTTTGAATTTTGAAGACCGTCAACAATAAATGGGCCTCTGTGTTACATCATGTTTGTGCAGCACAATAATTATGGCAGTGCTGACATTACAACCAAAACATCACTCTTTTCTATGTATGGGAAGGTTTCATGTGTGAAATCTACAGCTCCCTGCTGGTGAACATGTGTAAAAAAAAAGGCCTTTAATTAAACCTTACACTTAAAATTTTTTGATACACTAGGACCTGCCCATACATAGATAAGAGTGCTGATCCCATGCTCGTGGAATTTGGATACATCTATACATAAAACCTTGTGCACTACTTTATACCTGTTGGAATCTAAAAGTAAAAAGAAACATGTTGCATGTATTTAATCCCAAATAGACCCATTGCTAATATAGACAGTATGATCAAAAATAGAATGTGAAAAATTAGTGAGGTTCAAGTGGAACTTGATCATCCAGTGACCTTCATTAAATGTTGTTAAACGCCCTTCGAATAGATAAGGAAAAATAGCTTGAAAAATAAATGAATTAATTCAAAATGATTTCTTGAGTGTACCCGATATTAGCCCTGCTTCATTTATTGCACAACACTTAGGGAGGGGCTTTGATTGAAGTGGGATGGCCTGTAAATTTGACAACATCTGTGAGGCAATTTTATCTGCAGCAGTAGCAGTAGCAGCAGCAGCAGCAGTGTTGTTGAGCTGCTTGCAATCCCACCCAAAACTGATAGGACATTAAACTGGCCTCTTTTATATGCATTGTTACACTTCTTGTTAAAGACAGTCCGTCAGAGTTTTACTAGCCAACACCAATCTCTATTTTTTTTATTGTTTTACCAAGTGTAACTTCTTTTTTTAGTACTGTTTTACATGCAAACAAAATTCTGTAAAAGTTCTTTATTTCTGTAATTAAGTGTGGCAGAGATTGACCATAAAGGAAGAAAACACGTGCTGCAGATTCCTTGACAGAGAAAGTTGTTTTAAAAGCAACAGAAAATGAAAGCATGAGAAGATTATCTTATGCATCAGAGCATATCTTACTAACCTTTATCTGTTTCTTAAAACAACCTACGTCAAAGGTCATGCCGTTTGTTCATGTGTTTACAGACTAAAATGTCAGTTTTTATTAATTTAATGACTCAAAAAGTACATCTTTGGCAGATAACGATTTTATCTGCCTGGGCTGCCTAGCTGTTTGAAGGCATGCCAAGATTTTACAAAGTTGTGCTGTCAAAGCCTCTAAAATGTATCTGTCATATTATAGTGAGATGCCAGAGAAAGTGCTGCAGTGACTGAAGTTTTCTCAAGCTTTATGGAGCATAGTAACGGAGTTCTCCACCTTCCCCACCTGTTGCTGTAATGAAATGACATCAGACTTTTATGGAACTTTTCAACCCTCAAAGGGTTAATAGGTGCACCATTCCTCTCACCCAAAAACTGCTGGAGACCCGCGACCTGGTACAGAAGCGCAGGTATAGACCATGGATGGATATTTTTGACAAGATATCAGTAGCATGTCTGCCAAGCAGCTGACTGCAGACTGCCTAGTAGAGCTTGGCTAACTAATGTGCTAATATTGGCTGTTAGACTCCCAGTGTACCCCATAAAGAACAAAGCAGCAACCAGGAATTATATGCTGCATAATAATCCCATCTACTTGCAAAGCTTCTGCAGTATTTAAGGGTTTGATCTACATTTTTGATAAAGTCCAGGTGTCAGAATAAAAACAGATGCAAAAAGTTCTAGATAAACATCAGAAGTGTAATAATCAATACTTTATCAGTAGTAAGAAAACTAGTTGCTTTTTCTCTTTTAAGTAAAAGTAATTTGACCCCGTTTTACTATTTCTGTGTAAAACGTAATGTTACATTAGGTAACATTAACATTAACATTAGGTAGCATTAACATTCTGGTCAATACATTTAAATTTGGTCAGCATCCCCTTTACAAATTACTGCTATGCAGAATTTTACAAATAAGATTAGTATTTAATAAAAAAACAATATCAATAATAATGATAATAACATTTTTCCTTATATAACTTAGCCAAGAGCTATAGAATATGCAGTATGAACCTATATATTCTCTACAACAAGCTGACGGTCAAATCTAGTGAATTACAGAAAAAGGAAGAACAATATAATAACTATCTTACAAGACAGGTTGACAAAAAAAATGCAAATCACTAATAATGTTTGTCCAAAATACTTCATTTATTCTGAAAGAAGTTTGTTTTCTCCAGGCTGAAACTTCATCAAGTGATAGACAAAGTTAACACCAGCAACGCAGAAACGTGTTTTAGGATTTTTTTGCATTATGACGTACTGAGTGCTGCTAGGCAAACATCAAAACGCTGGTAATTATTCAATGCAACCCAATGAATAAAATGATCTCTGCGCGCGGCCTTGCCTCAGATGCCGCACGAGCGACTTGCCAACCCACAAAGTGTCTCCGGTTTCCCTTACCGACTTATTTCAGTTCTCCAACTCTGTCAGTGTTACTGCTATATAGAAAGTAATGAGCTCTTTAGACAGAAACGAACAGGATCCAGCGGAACATCAGCAGTCACCACACCTAGCAACCGGGTTGCCAGGACGCAGGAAGTAACTTGTTAGCTGTAGCCTCTAGTAGCCACGTCTGCTAGCTTCGGCCGTGGCGGGTCGCTCGGTGCTGTGCGGCTCTTACCGATGTGGTTATCCTCGATGTGCACGATGAGCTCGGTCAGGGAGTCAAAGTGAAGCCCGCAGCCGGCGAACCTGCAAGCGTTGGAGAAGAAGGAAACAGCCGCGATGCCTGTCATGGTCGCCGTGACATTTGAAACGAAGGTAGGCAGCAGTGGAGCAGAGGCAGCGGGGTAAAGCAGCGGTGAGAACAGCTGGAGCGGAGCTGTGACTCCTCCGAGCTGCGTCAGACCAGCTGGAGACCGACAGCAGCACCGGATGTGAAGCTGCAGACTTTCATTTGAAAAGCACAACAGTTTTCAGATAAACTGCAAGCACGGATGTGGTTGAAGCCACACATTTACAGAAATTAGCTTTACAAGGGCATGCAAGTAGTTTTTTTTTTTTTTCGTCGTTTGTTTTATTAATGTCAAAAATAATTGATAATGTAGTCAAAGGAGTTTTAATGATTATTACAATTACTTTGTTTGTAATGCCACCTGGCCTCGGCTGTTATGTTTGGCTTGTTAATTTATGTAGCAGGGTCAGTCAGCACATATGAATAAACAGTAAAGTACTAAATGTGCGAGAGACAGCAGGCCCTCCTGAAATGTGATAATCTGATAAAATACAAAAAGAGGTTTTTAAATTGTAGTTTAAATTATTAGGAGAAAAAGCTACTTCCTGGAAAAAGTAATTGTCTTCCTCACCTAATAATTGGTTGTGTTAGCTTAATTGTTTTTACCAGCATTGGCAGTTTGAGGTCATGCTGCCACAGCATCTCACATTTTACTCCAAACTTTGAGTAGGCATGCAGAATTAGCCTGAAATATATGCCCAGCTTAGAAACAAACAAAAATATTTTGTTAATGCACTTTAAAACCATGACTCTGTTAACTGAACTATGACTTTTCCTGTTGGTAAAAAGCTCAGTTTGTTCTGTTGGAATCCAGATTCACATGCGGCCAGCAGGGGGCCCTAACTATCCACAAACACAACTTCACCTTGATCTGACCATGACAACAGACATCTGTAAAAATAATAATGATAAAGACATGGTTATGTATTTATCCAAGATGCCACAGAGTGATATTATAAGATATCCCTAAACATACATATGTCCTAAAATATATTCAGGGTATGGTTGAGGGGCTTTATTTAGTTATGGGAGTTACATTTTGCTGTTCAAAATAATATTACATATTTATTATCTAAGCCCTGGTTTTCCAGTGACTTACATACCAAAAGGATTGTTTTAAATATTTGTATTTTAATTTCAAAAAGGATTTTAACAAATGAAAGAGTGTTAACGTTAATGAATGTATTTTTTGCAGCCTGCTAAAAAACAGACAGCCTGAAGTCATTAAACACATACATCTATCATCTATTTTTAAATAACTGTCCAGTCTTCATTACAACTGCACCAACTTTGACTAACTCAGAGTTTAATTTCAATCACTTCTAGAAATGACTCCAGATGTTATTTTTCATCCATGATTAAAACATTTTCAGCAATTAGTGCTGCCGTTATGGATCAACAAGCAGCTCAAAAACAACTAATGGCCACAGAGTGGCAGTGTTGGTCTGGGAATACATGTGATTTACATCAGTTCATTTACTTTTAGTAAAGTTCACAACCTTAAGGTAACCAGAATTAAAATCATGTCCATGAAGTAATTAAGTTAGTCTAGTAATTTAAACCCTCAGTGCTCCTCCTCCTTTATCTTATATCATGGTACTTTCATGTTAATGGTATCAAAATACTGTTAAATTAATTTGGATATTTGAGATCTACATAGACTGATAGTTCATTTTTATTCTTAAACCGTATGTAGGTTAGAGTTATAGTGAAAAGCATGTAGGTTTTATGACAGCTTACCATAAAAACAACTAAAACTGACAGTCTTTATCATTGTCTGTTTTAGTGGTGTGGTGGAAATGATACAAATATTTACAAGGATAATATCAACCTCTCCACATTAACCATGTATGAATTAATATTTAGAATTTTCCTGTAGGTCTAATTCTTTAAAGTGAGCTTTTTAAAATAATAATAATATGAATTTGCCCAGAAATGAGAGTAATTTTACAATATTCATTGATTGGAGGTGCCATTTTAAAAAGTAATTTTTTAATGAATTCATTCATTCATTCATTTTATTCCATTATATTCACAGACTCCATGCCTCCATGTCTTTCACACTTGAAGCCAAAGTCAAACAGTTTTTCTTGTTATTACCGGAAAACGCTGTCAATTTATTTCATTGCTGTCGTTTTTCAAAGAACTGGATGTTTTCAATTACAAATGCTGGCTCTGCCTGTTCCAGTTATTTATTTACTATTTTACTTGATGGGTATAGTTATAACTATTTATTGCTCTTCAACTTGTTGCACCCCATAAATACAGATGAGGTAACAGATGTACCAGAGATTTCATTTGTTTATTTAATTTTTTTAAGTTACAATGTACTCTTAAATAAAGCGTTGCATTCAACAAACTTCCTGTAATTCAGCTAAGAAAGATGAGCTCATGAGTAAAATGATTCCCTCACTACTTTAATTTTTCAGTTAGAAAAGGTATACCTTTTCCCTTTTCAGTTTCTTACATAGCAAAGATTAATGTCAACTTACTAAGAATTAACAAACCATCTTTATTTATTTATGAATAACTACTTAGCGTTGTTAAAGATAGCTAAGCAAGGAAGTATGGGTTATAAGTAAATAATCAAGACAACCAACAATACTTTCATTCAACTTTAAATGATGTGGAGATCAAACAGTTCTGGGAGAGGGGTGCCATCTTGAAACAATTTTCTATAATCTTCTGTCATTGTTACCTTGGTAACCTTTGTTTTCTTTGGCTATGAAACTTGTGAAGATGGTGAAATATGCTAAAGAAGGCAAAAAAAAAAAAGTTACAAAATCAAGCAACTTACATCATTTTTCAGACATTTCCTAGTGGTGCTCAGAAAATAATTTGCCATCAATCGCTAAAGGTGTAAAATGACCTGTAAAAAAAAGTAAAAAGTATGGTTTGACAAGTGATTCAAAAGAAAAAAAAATACTACAATCTTGTTGCTAAATGGACATTTCTCAGAGGACAAGTGCTGAAGTAAACATTGTAAAAAAAAATTGTGGAAGCTGAAGTCTACGAAAAAAGAAGCAAAAGAGGAAATTTAATTCAAGTTATCTCCATTTTTTGTGCAGCTGGTGTGAGATAGTGGAAGAACAAAGATCACAGCATGTGGTATGTGGTTCACTTCTCAGTAACACATGTATGAATCATCACATTTTTAAACCACACCCTTCAACCAAACATGTAGAGCTAATGGACAAAACACTTTAATTTGTTAGAAACAAATCCTGCATTCAGTTCTGCGTTGATGCACAACTCTGTTTATTTGCCAGAGATGAGATAATCTGTCACTCTTGTACATCTGAATTGGATAATTGATTAAATTTAAGCAGTTTCTTGGTTTGTGTCAGATATCATCGCGAGTTTGCGAGTTTTGTGCTACCATATTTTATTTTAATTTTGTTATGATGAAAGCAGAAAGCATATTGTCATAAGACATTTAAGAACCACTGCATTATGAAATTAACACAAATAAGACCATAGTTTCATTTGATCTTTTTCTATGCAGGGTTGTTATATTCACAATAAACACATCTAAACATGCAGAATCCATTTTCTGGCATACAGGATGGTACTCTTTAATTTTAAGGAGTCATCTCACTGAACTGCCTCTTAAAACTATTCTTAATTGTTATAGGGTTCACTTTTTGTATATAGCAAAATCCCTAAGATTATCTACCTTTAAACTTCCAACCTGCAAATTACAATTAAATGAGTTTCTAATTCCACCTGAAGGCTTAGCAGTTTTACATTTCTTAGTCTCCACAAGACAGATTGTTTACCTTTGCATTTTGTGTGTTGCACTGTACACAAGCAGTTTTATTGTGTGATCAGTAGGGAAAACTGAGTTTTGTATGTTTGCATTCAAGCTTTACTCTACAATAGAATCACAACTCTGTTCAAAGTTTTGCCGACTTACAGCTATTGTGACAAATAACTAGACAGTCATTCAACATGTTTCGCCATTGACTACCTACCACTTTTTTTTTAAGTTGGAACCACAAGCAGTTTACATAAGAATACCAGTCAATCAAGATTAAGTCTTCTTGTTTCAAAATATATCATTATGTCCCTCCTTTTCTTCCTGTACTATTGCTCAGCTGTAGCTTTATTTTTTTCCAAAACTGGTTTATTTTCAGCTGAATACTTTCTAAGTTCAGTGTTGCCTTGAAAACCCAAATAACTCTGCACCAACAGCTATTATCTACCTTGTATATAAGTTTTGTTGCCAGACATAATTTTACCCAGAGACGAAGCTATAGGGCCTGATTGCTCTAGTCTTCCCCTCTCTGCCATCCTAATGAGGGGCTGTGTGATGAACTGAAGATGTTTCCTGCCCTTTCGGATCCAAAACCTATTGTCAGGATTCTAGAGGAATACAATATGGTATAGTTAAAATTAATCCAAGCTGTATATTTTGTGAAAACAGCTAAAATGGTGAGGCTTTGTGACCACACTTATGCATGCGAGGCACAGATAATAACCGCACAATTTAAAACCTGCAAATCACAATGCAGTGATGCTTTACAAATGAGCAGAATATTCAGAATCAGATCTCACATGCTCCCATCAGTGTAAGTTTCAGTGTTCCTTTTTAGAAACAGAAAGACGTTAAAACGCTTTTGTTATTCCTCCTTTACACACCTGGTGCAATCATCCTCACTGGCTCTTCAAGGTGATCTTACCCAAAAGCATCGCACAAAGGCATAATCATGAAAGGGTTAGTATAATATAGATCAAATCTCCTTTAGTGTGGGTCACTGACCCAAACTGTATCGGCTCTTTCCAGCCTTAATAGTCTGTTCTTCTAGAAGCATAATGTTTGGATTCGTTGGGAAATATATTGGCAATAAAGAGACAAAGGGATGTCATAAATGTTGATTAAAGCTCTGGTTAAAAGACAGAGGCGGAGAGGCCCTGAGTTATGAGGGCCTTTCAGACTGCGTTATTGTTTCGGTGACAGAGCTCTTAGTGTGTCTAGTGGAGTGGTCGCAGGCCAGTGGTAAACATTTCTCAATGTGTGAGGAGTCATTAATCCCTGGAGTGGAGGATGGCTTCACTACTACCACTGTCTGTGGCCCTAGAAATAACAGCCAGTTGGCACCAGCAGGTCACCACGGAGCTGCAACTCTAAAGTGTTATACGCAGATGTTTAAATCTCTCCTAATGTGCTGGAGCTAAGGCAGACGTTTCAGAAAATCAACTGCCACATGTTCATTCAGAAAGGTTATCATTATAAGGGTTACTTTTTTTTTTTTAAAGAAAATATAATAAAACCACTTGTTTTTGTCTGAAACAGAAAATGCATAATTTCCCCCAATGTGGCTAAAATAATATCACATTTATTATTATTGTTATAGTACAGTTTAATACAGTTATAGCAAGGTT